GGGGTTTATCCCTTGTTTCCTGTTCTGGATTGGGTTTCTGGTTGCTTCTAAAGTCTGCTCCAGCTCTGTGCTCTTAACGTCTACACCTGACCTCTAAAACTTTGTTCACTATTTGATTTTATAATTTTCCTTCCTCTTTTCCACCAATAGGAGTAAACAGGTTTGTCTATCATCCGGTTCACACTCCTCCCTGAGGAGTTTCTTGTTTCCTTTTTAGGGTTTCCGGTTATTTCTAAAATCTTCTTCATTTCTGGTTACTTCTAAAATCTTCTCTTTTCACTCCCAGTAGCCCCTTGCATCTTAGTGGCATTATCACCTTGCTTGAAGATGAACTGATTAAAAAAAAAAAATAAATAAATGAATTAAACATTCTTTGAATGTCACCTTGTGCTGAAGCTGGTTTCATCCAGGATATGTCTAATATGAATGATCTTATATATATATATATATAAGTTGTGGACAGAATTATGCAAAAAATATTTAGCATAGGACAAAATTATTGGCTCTCTTGCCTCAATAATCAATTGTGTAATCTTTATTCTTGATTATTGCCCTTAATCATTTTTGATAGTTCCTTACAAGATCACTACACACGCTGATAGGTATTTTGCTCCATTCTTCCTTGGCAATAGCTTCTTGTTCCGCCAAATTTGAAGGAATTCTTTCTCTTGCGTTTTTCTTCAAATATGCCCTCAAATTTTCAATGGGATTTAGGTCAGGACTTTGTGCGGGGTATGCCAATACCTTACTTTTGCTGTCATTTAAGTATTTTGTAACAATTTGTTCTGTATCGTCATGTTTGAACGTCCAGTGATACTGCAAATGCAGCTTTTGTGCACTTTGTTTTATGTTATTTTTAAGAATAGCGAAATACTGCTCTTTATCCATGATAAAGAGCAGACTAGTAATCTGACTAGTTCTCCTGGTCCAGAAGCAACAAAATACCCCCAGGGCAGAATGCACCCATCACTGTGCTTAATTGTAGGGAGGGTATTTTTTGGTTTGTGAGATTCATTCACTCTCCTCCATATGTAACGGGAACTCATGTGGCCAAATAATTCTAGTTTCATTTGAACATAAAAGAGTGTTCCAATATTTACTCCCATGTTCCATATAGCTTCCAGCATAAGCTGATCTGCATTTTAGATGTTTAGCCTTAAACAAGGAAGTTTTCCTTAGGCAATAAGCTCAGTCCTGCTCGATGAAAGCATCTAGTGATTGTCTTCGTCGATACATTCAACCCTGATGTCTTTACATCATTGACAATGTCCTTTGTCATTAAGTGAGGATTCTTCAAGGCATCTCTAACAATTTTCCTTTCCATTCTCTCAGAAATTAACAGTTTTCTGCCAGTCCTTAATTGTCGATGTAGGAACATTTAAACATTTAGAAAGTGTTGTATATCCATCACCTTGTTCCTTCTTGGAGCTTCTTGTCAGGTTCAGCTATCTTTACCATGATTACAGAATTAATGAGATATTGCGGTACGGGGCACTCACATATTGTCTTCTTCTTTATCTCTTAGTATTGACCCGATTCTATAACTTTCCATTTCATTTTCAAAGGGTGTCTGTATTAAATGTTTTAAGAAAAAAACATTACAATTGCCATACAGCAATATTATTTCATAAATTCCAGGGGTGGGAGGTGGCATTGAATAATTTTGGACTGCACCAATTTTTAGAAAAATCTATAACTATTAATATGATAGCTTGAAACTTGTAAAATTATTAGGTATCATGAATTATTCAAAACTAAATACAGAATCAACTATTTATGTAAATTCAGTAGGGATGAATAATTCTAATAAAAAAATATCTCTCTCTCTCTCTCTCTCTCTCTCTATATATATATATATATAATATATATATATATATATATATATATATACACACACACACACAAAACACATTTAAAAAAATCAATTCTCAATATCTCTTTTTCTGTTGTGCGCATGTGTAATTGCATCAATGTAAACATATATAAAAAAAAAAAAAAAAATGTGTATATTGTTAACTCGTATATATACTGGGTGAACAGCAAAATTGTCTATTTGTCTGATTAAGCTTTGAACTGTTGTATCTTAGAAATGATTAAAGATATCTTACTGGAATTCTCCAAGATTTTTATAACACTATTGGACTCTACTTTGAGCACTAAGAATGTATAATTACTCTCCAAGCTTAACAGAAGTATTGTGATGAAATCAATCATCACAATAAAATGTGTTTATTATTAATTAATCATAGCTAAGGATTATATAATATATCATGAATTGAGGATTGAAATTAAGTTCATTATATATATATATATATATATATATATATATATATATATATATATATATTTCAGGATCATTTTCCAACTTATTCAAGATGAACTTCACCCTCTCTAAACTTCTAGCTTTCTGTCCTGGAGTAATAAGTTGCCTCACATGTTTCATGTATGATTTCATTTTCAAGTTTTTTTCACTGTTTTTTGAACTGTCATAGGTGGAACTCCTCTCTCACATGCCAAATATCTTATGGATTGTATTGGATTTTTCTAATTGATCTCTTTAGCTCTAAGTTGAAATGATGATCCCTCTTCTTGTTGTGACTTCCTGATCCAGTTTTCCTCTCTACTGTCCCCTCTTTTTTAAACTTATTCACCGTTCTCTTGATGGTTCTTGAATAGATTTTGAAGATGGAAACCAGAGTATGAATGTTGGTACCATTACTGAAGGCCTGAATGATCTTTTTCCTCTAACCATTGTTCAGTTGGGAAGATATAGTGGGGATGACACAAAATGATTTTAACCTCTTCTCTTTCTAGTTGAATAACTCAAATGGTTTTTCAGTGATTCTTACGATAAATGGTATCTAGATGGCTAAATGTCTTATCTGAAAACCTGGAAAAAAGAAACTCAATTAGTGTAGTGGTATTTTTTAGATATTGCATAACTGTCCTTCCCACAAAATGTTTAATAACATAATTTGGACAATTTTGCTGTTACACCCTGTGTATCTAATAAATATATATATATATATATATATATATATATATATATATATATATAAACAAGTGGTTAGAATGTTTGCTTTCTGTCCATGAGACCTGGGTTTGAATCTCACCATGGCCAATTTTTTCTGATGTTATCAGTCTGGGGGAGGCCATCCCTGAGTGCAGCACCTTTGGAAAGGATCTGAAAACCATACCACAAGTTGACGCAAGTCTTGTTGAAATTGTGTAGAAGGAACCCTTGGGGCCATTGATGAGGCATCATGACTGATGGTGTGTGTGTGTGTGTGTGTGTGTGTTATATATATATATATATATATATATATATATATATATATATATATATATATGTGTGTGTGTGTGTTCTATGATAGACGGAACTATTTGGGAGCTGTCAATGGTTGTGCTAGCACAGAGTCACAAGTCATCATGTCCAAGATTTTAAACATACAGGCTTTGTTCAGATTGTTGATCACACTAGATAACACGCTCTCTCCCAGAAACTGTAACTAATGTCTGCTCAGCAGAGCTACAGTATAAACCACATGTGGGTGATGAACAAACACAAAATGCACCTGAGCAAAAAATAAATGCAATAGGGATTAGCTGTCCATCTTAGTAGTTGGGTATCCTCAAATACGAGTTCTTGTACAATCTCTCTTTCTATCTATATATTTATTTCTAAAAAAAATTAATGTATTTTTTATTTATTAATCTGATAGACTTTTGTCATGTTAAACGTTATTTTTAGTGGATGCCTACATTTGAGTAAATGCACCAATTTAAACAGTATATTTATTTTCATTTATCAACTTGAATCAAGAAAAATTATTAAAGAAATATATGCACCCTTTAACAAGATTTGAACCTGCATCCCACTTTTTAACAAGATTTTTCAAATATTCCATCAATTTGACAAAAAATAAATATACTGTTTAAAATAGTGTCTACTCAAATATGGGCATCCATTAAAAATAATGTGTAAAATGATATATATACACACACGAACACTAAAATTATTTTTCTGCTGATAGTTTTGAATGTTCATGGCAGGTTTACATCATAAGAAATTTTCTGAAAATTGCTGCCCAAATTACTTCCAAAATTTGGCTTGCACCCAGTTAAAGACTTGAAGAAAAACAAATCCTTCTGTTTGTGTTTATGCCATTTGTCTGATAAAAATCTGAATTTTATGAAACCCTTCAAAATTTTTTTCTTTGCTCAGAAATGACTATAAATATTAATGTATCTAGAATCATCGAAAATAAATTTCCCTCAGAAAGAACACGGTTTATTGAAAGTGAGAGGGGAGAAAAAAAAAACATGAAGAGGTGTGATGTCAAACACAGCTTAACCAATCCTGACCAAGCTTACTGCTTAGTGACAAAGCAGCCAGCTACTGATTGGTCATTTTATTAAGATAAAAGAATGACACTATTGAGCCATTTGTCACCTGATGGCTGTAACTCAGGAATTACACCAAACAAGAAAGATGACCTCTTGCACAAAAGCAACAACTATGACTAATAAGCTGGTGGACACTTAATATTATTTCTGTCTAGGCTATATTTTTTTCCCCACACGTTCAATTAATTCCTTTCTTAATCTCTTTACCTTTCACCTAGTCTAATTAACTAAAGAAGCCCCTTTATATCCAGTTAAGAATTGATAGATATATTTGAATATGTAGAATTAAGAAATATTAAATGATACCAAGCCAAGAAGAATATTGATTCAAAGAGAGATTTTTATTGATAGTTTTTGTCTAGACGCATCCTGGCATACTAGTTGGGCTCAAGTAAAATTTAAAGTCTTACTTCTTCCTCAGTGTACAGATGTTGTCTTCTTCCTGTTCTCTTTGCCATGCCCCTTTAGAACATTGACAATCATGGCTCTCCACAGCATCCTATCCTTTGAATCTGTAAGATTTGTCTCTCCCAATCCATTTTAACAAGCTTGTTAGGTAGCTTGGTTACTCACCGTTTCTATTTCTCTTGCTTATGACTATATCACATTGAAACACCAGTTCTTGTATGATCACCAAAGTTAAGCAATGTCAAGCCTGTTCAGTACTAAGATGGCTGACCACTTTGGAATAACAGGTGCTGTAAGCTTGGGTGCAGGAGTGGTGTAATGGATAACGTAAAAGAAAAGGAGGGTATCAGGTGACAAGAAATGCAACAAAAAGTAGAAATAACCACAACATTCTACACATACACACTATGAAAAAAAAAAAAATCAACCTTGCACTAATGCAAAGTGCATATATAAAAAAACAAACAGTCAATTGCTGATACCCCCTGATGAGTGGATGGAGTGATTGCTGGAGGGTCTGTCTACAAAACTCTGGTGTTACTTTCAGCATCCTGACTCCAATTGGCTAAGTGACAAACTTTATATTTGAATTAATTGTATATAAAATCTGTGGCGACTGCCAGTAACCCAAGTGTGTTATGCATATAACTGTTTCTGGTCTCTAAATTTGATTCCGACAAAGAATATGGAACCAATGGTATTCCTGCAATTACCCTAAAGTAATGTGCTCCTGAACTGGCTCCTGTTCTTTCTGAGCTCTAGAATAAATGCCTTCCTGTTTCTTGTTTTACTGCTTGTTGGAAAACCTCTTCTGTAGTTTTAAGAACACTGGCAAACTGTTTGATTCTTTGAACTATTGACCTGTCAGTCTTCTACTTCTCTTTGGCAAAGTCCTAGAAGCTCAAATCAACTTGAAATTGTTTAAGTATCTCAGCTCACAAGGTCTTCTTTCTGATAAACAATATGGCTTTTGCTTTTCTAGGTCAACTGCCAATATGTTATTGTTGAAAGGGTTTGTCAAACTTTATACAAGAATAGTAAAACTCAGGCTTTGTATATCTTGAAGGCATTTGACATGCTGGTCATCTTCATAAGCTGAAGAACTATGGTGTTTCTGGACAAAGTTTTGATTCAATCTTTCTTATCAAATTGCAAAATGAAAGTTGTCTTGAATGGCTATTCTTCTAAATCGTTTTTTCATTAATACAACCTATTCCTAATTTTCATCAGTGACTTTTCCAATGTCATTAGTTTTTGACTGTATCTTTGCTAACGACTCAACTATTTACTCCTGCCTTAATGTTAAGTCTAATAGCTTCAATACAACTTTTATTTTGATACCTTATATAGATAAGCTAATAAACCTCTTATTTTGGAACCTGTGTTCGTATTGTCCGATATATATATATATATATATATATAGACTGTAATCTATCAATATATATATATTTACTGTAATCTATCAATATTGTGTAAATTAAAACACATATTCTGTCTGTTCTTCATTTCCATCAAAAACCTTCCTGATATTATCAGTATTGATACCAAGTTGAGAACTGATCACACAATGATTTACACCTGTCTAAATGATAAGTCTGATCGGTTCAATAAGGTCAAATTGGTAGCTGATCCCCAAAATAACCCCCATTCAGTTGGGGCAGGAAGTGGCTTGTTAATTTTAATGCTTCCAAAATGAAACTGTTCTCTTTTGCTCATCTTAAAGAACTTTTTTTCTTTTTTTTTTTTTTAACCTTTCATCAGCATGGCTGAGAAATCGTGTTTTCCTCTGACATGAAGTAGTACATTTATATCTAATCAATTGCTAGGTTTGTTTGGAAAGTTGGTTAACCGTGTCATTCTTGACAATTTTTCTCAACTGAATCTATCTTAATACCTTTTATAAGACTACCATTCATCCGTGCATTGAATATTGCTGCCACATCTGGTCTGGTGCTTCTGTTATATATCTAGAGATTCTTGACAAAATCCAAAGAATCTGCTATGTTATCTACCCTGACCTGGCATCTCAGCTTCAGTCACTCCCACCATCATAATGTAGCTTCCCTGTGCCTTTATTTTCATAATAATTTTTTATGATTAGCTTTCCTCTTTAGTATCACAATTTCATGAATTTAAGAGCAGTACTAGATTGGCAGTTAGGTCTCATTATTTTATTGTTGAAATTGTTAGATGCAATTGGTTGGCAGAATAGGGATTAGGTGAGATAACAAATAGACAAACCTTACTAAGAGCTACAAAGGACAGAAAGTTGTGGAGAGACATGCTTGCCCACAGCCTGAAGAGACACGGTACAGAGAAGTAGTTTGGTTGTTGCTATTCTTTTCATTTTCTTCTCTATTGCTTCTCTGATATCAGCTTCCTATGGGTCCCTAGAGCTGTTTTGTGCTGCTTGTCTTAGGTTAAGTATGGCAAGCAAATGGCAAAGATTATTATGTTATTTCATCTACTCTTCGTGCTTGAGTCTCCATGCAACAAACTAAATGGAAAATTCTGATTTTTCTGTGATCCCCAGGATTTACTGGCTTGGGAATCAAATTATATTGCAACCAATAAATGTGTAATAAATTCAAAGATTGTCACATAAAACCAAGAATCAATAAAGTTCCCTGGTGTGAATTTTTTTTATTTTATTTTATTTTATAAATAGAAAGAAAATATCTACTGCAATACAAAGCCATGGAATGAGAAAAATAATTTCAGCTTATGAATACTGGATTAATAAATGATGTGAAAAAAACTGATAATTATACGTAAAATAGCCTTATTCTGTTAGTAATGCTTGCATTCTAGGCTTAACCACAGAAAATACCTTTCTACTTAATTTTCTGTTGTAAAAACATTTGCAATTGGCTTTTGACTATGTATAAAAATAATTTTCGATGTTTTTTTTTTTTTGTTTTTTTTATTGTAAATTTCATTTGTAAATGTTTTTCTGGTGTCAAAATCCACTGCAGTGCTTCCTGATCTTGTCAAAATCTTTTGAAGTTCATTTAATTTATATATATTATATCATAAAGAGGTAATTGTACAAAGAATTAATCAGTAATGTTAATGAAATTAATGGCGAAATCTCTTTGCTAACAAGACTTAATAAGGCATTAACTTACTAATAATTCATTGAATAATGCGATCTTTATGTTTAAATTGTTGTCAGATAGATTTGATGTTGCTGGGCCAAGTACTTTCAAAAATTTCACATTATCAGCCTCAGAGCATATTTTTCTATTTACAGGTAAACTCCAAGACAAAATAGATGTAGTGTAGACTGAAAAATGTTTCAGATGTTTTAAAAAAGATGATTTTAAAAATGTTATTTATTGCCAGTTATATGATTTTGGAATGTGCGATGTTGCAACACTAGAGTTCTAGTTTAAATAATTCAAGCGAGAATTTTGTTTGAATGTAGTAATGTGGTAAATTCACAATTTTTGTTTTGTTGTATGTGTTTTTCAGTTAAAGTTAATTTGTCTCTATCATTGACCCCTTCTCATAGTAATACTTACGTTAATTGCTGACCAATGAAAGTCCCCTTCTTTTTTTTTTTTTTTTTTGATTTTCAAAACACAGCATCATTCAAGAAAAGCTTAGATCAAATAATGCTTCTTTTGATTGATTGATTCATTTTCTACAGCTTATCAACCCTTTACAGGTTATATTTAAAGGCAGAAAATATTTTAGACTGTAAGAATTTTTTTGAGATAATAATGGTTTAGTGACACAAGTCTCAATAATTAACCCATTCAAAAAGAGATATTGTTTTTCAAAGTACAACTCTGGTGTTTGAGATAAAATCACAATAATATTTAAGGAAAAGGCAGAATAAATCTCATCCTAATGAGAGGCAATAATATGGAGTTCATTTAGCTGTGATTAAATACTAATTATGCAGGCCATAATTATTATAATTTGCAAAAATTGGCACGGCACCATAATTAAAAATTCAGCTCATGAAAACATTCACAATTAAATAATACACTATTTAGCATTATTATCATATTATTGGTATTATTAACATATTACTAATATTTTTTTTGTGTGTATTTTAAGGAGTTGAAATCTGAATTCTATTAAAGAAAGGAAACCAATTAAGAACTGGAGAGAAGTTGAGAGAATTCTTTCTTTTGGAATTTTTAGTGAAGATTTGACACAACCATTTATGCCTGTCTTAATAGTGACTCTAAGCAATTCTAAAGATTAAATTGGCAGCTGATCTCTAAAAGGATCTACATTCTGTTGCTAACTGGGGCAAAGAATGTCTTGTTAATTTTAACACCTTCAAAATGAAACTGCATTTTTTGAATTGTCTAAAAAACATTTTCGCCTTCCATCAGCATGGCTGATGCTAACCTCCAGAAGAGTGACTCATTGTGCCTTCTCAGACTAAGATTCTCCAATGAAATTGAAAAGTGGAAAGATTATATTGAATCAATTGCTAGGTCAGCTGCTAGGAAAGTTGGTTCACTGTGTCTGTCTTAAGTCTACCATTTGTCTTTGTTTTGAATATTGTTGCCATATCTGGCCTGGTGCTCCTGCTATATATTTAGAGATTTTTTGGCATCAGTCACTTTTCCATTGCTGTAATGTCACTTCCCTGTGTCTTTCATGGTAATTGTTCTGATGAATTTCTTTAGTACCTAGACTTTATGAATTTAAGTGCAATACTAGATTGGTGGCAAGGTTTCCTTTGACAGTTGACCATAAATAACTGTAAATTCAATGCTAACAGTTTCTTCAATCGTACTTGTCACTTATGGAACTCTCTTTCAATTTCTTGGTTTCCAGTCAACTTTGACATTGCATTTAAATAATTATCATTTGTCTCCTTAATTCTTGTTCTTTTGTTCTCTCTCTCTCTCTCTCTTTTTAATAGTATTTTTTTTTTCATATTCTCTAACACTCAGTAATCCCTTGATCTTAGTGGCTTTATTGCCTTGCTTGGAGAGAAATTATGAAAAAAAAAGTGAAATTTCAAAAAAATAATTTTTGAACTCTCGAGTTATTTTTCTTTTTAATACCTTATCAACTTATTAACTTTAAAAAAAAAAAATTCTGTATTCAAAAATTTTTTTTTTTTATTTTATGTTGCAAAAAGGAAATCTGGAGAAAATGTTTTTAACACTCTTGAATTAAAGTACAAAAATTGTGTACTGTGAACATATACATTTTGATCTTTGTCAAAATATCTAAAGTTTCAACTTAAAGAGGAGCTGGTAAACACATACACCAGTGTTCATTATATTCAGTTTCATAACTTCAAAATAAATACTGTCATTTAC